AAGCCTTAGGGAAGATAGATGTCATTGATGTCAACAGGACCTGAAGTCTGTGCTTCTACTGCTGTAGAGAAGGTGGTTCTGTTGGGTGTCCAGTGAGATTGGTACACCACCTCTGCCTCTTCAAGGTCTTGATCGAGATTTTATTCCGCTCGAAAGATCTGCTCAGGAAGCACGCGGAGCATCCAGTTTAAAGCAAGTTTGGCGCTTGTTCGAGTTCGACCCTGCAATGGCCTCCAACAGATTAAGCACAAAGCTGTGCAACAAGTTGTTCGTTTTTCATTATGCCACATGCCTATGCATGCAACTTGGGCGATGAACAATCCAACCACCGCCTATAGCATGACACGGCAAATCACGTTCTTGCTCCAAAATAGATAGACACTGATTGACACACATACATTTTTTTACATCCACTTAGAAGTCCTTGTGAACTGCATCCAAGTTGTATACCTTTGGGTCAGATCACATTCACCAGGATTGGCCCAACCCACGCATACGCATCGGAACTGCCGACATCGGGCGACCCCGCCTTTAAACACCAACAGTGATAACCCTTTCACGAAACTTGGCAGGCTCGCCGGCAGTGTCCCTGCCTCAATCGTGTCGCCCCTTTTGTTGGGCTCCTTTGACAACAGCTGCAAAAGCACAAGGGTTCTTTCCCGCACAACACCTGTTGACATGCCCGTTGAACCCACGGCGTTGTGCCTGGAGGACGAAGCAGAGCCAGCGCAGCACATGAAATGAGCTCATGTGGTGCCTGCCCTAACGGTGGCGAGTTTTGGATGAAATGATCGGTCAAACCAGCGAAACGTGGTTTTTCCTTTTTTCCCTGCGTGGTGAGCGTCGAATTAGATGTATTTGGAGTCTCCAAGTACGGTAAGAATGTGTCAGGATCCAAAGCAGAAGGTATCCAGGTATTTGCCCTTTGAGCGTGCGTCAAGGATCATCTGTAAACTACTACTAGTAAATAGATGTGGTGACTAATTAGTTTTACAAAACTAGCTGTGATGACTCTTGGACTGCTCAGCAAAGCAGAATTGCTGAGCTAGACCTTGTGCCCCAGTGACAGGCCCAGCGACTGGCCCCCAGCGACTCCGCCATGGGCGCCGGTGCCAGCGCCAGCAGTGCGGGCAGTATGGCAGAGGAGCCGGACGATGATGCGCTGCTGAGCTTTCTTGGTGAAGACGTGGACCGCGCGGAAAGACTTCTGAGCCGGGCAGAGCGTCTGATGCTACTTGGGCTCAAGAGGAAAACTTTTTGGGACGTGGTGCCGTCTCATTGTATAGTCAGAGGTAAAATGAGGTAGAGAGCCAAAGTGTTTAGGTCTCGAATGGTGCTGGACCTCTTGGGTTATGTATGCAGGACTTTAGTCCAAACCTTCAAGATCCAGTGACCGTCAGCAGTCATTTTGGCTCAAGCCATTTTGGCTCAAGAGCCCCGTGATCAAGCTTCAGCTGCAGTTAGGGGAGTGGGTTTGTCGCCATGCTTCCTTTGCTGTGGCTGGCCGTGGTTCTGTGTCTACGCGATGGCTGCTCTAGCTACGTGTGGCACAGGCAGAGTCCGATCTTTGCGTGGGAAAAAGGTGAGAAACGTGTGCAGGAGTTGATTCCTTCTAGGGTGCCAGAGTGGGATCTTCTTTCTTCTTGGATTTTACAGTTTTGGCTGGCTTGTTACGGTTTCGTGGTCATTCACGGACCGTTTTGGCTGCGTGCTACGGGGGCTAAAATCCAGAAGATTGTGATGATCACTTGGTGTTTTGCCAAGTTTTGGTTGTTCGCTTGGACGTCTGTGAACCTTTTCCGAAAAGAGTGTCCTCAAAAGGATTCTTGTAACCTGCTTAGGTGCTGCAAAGGTCTGCAAGGCCCTGTGCTTTCAGAACTCGGTTGGGTTGCTTGTCCTGCGAGGAAGGTAAAGCACAGGCGAGTGTTGGGAGCTATGCGCCGTGGTAAATTCAGAATGTTATGTTGCTTGGCCTACAAGCATACGCATGCCATTTGTCCTTTGTCGGGTGGAGGTGGCAAAGGAAAAAGCAAGCTCAACGTTTTAGCGTCCGTTGTGCAAAAGTTGGCTTCCCAGGTTCAACATCTTGAAGCCAAGCTTGCCCCGAAAGTGGGCATGCGAGAAAAGAAGCCTTATAAAAAGAGACCCAAAAAGAAAGCTCCTCATCAAGGTGGAAATTGTATCTTCGACCAGCTGATTGGAACTTTGAAATCCTGGGACGGCAAAGATGGCAAGCCTAAGGATGACGAGGTGAAAGCCTTTTTGAAGCAGCTGCTGCGTGAAGGCCCCCAGGAGACTAATGCTCCCACTTCCAAACCTTCAAAGCCAAAGACTGAGATGGGTGGGAAAGATGAGCCATCATCAGGCCCTAGGCTGTGGTCTGATCTTTTTAAACCATCCCCACCAAACGCCTCAAAGACTTCAAAAAGCAAATTTCGATTGTTTGCAGCTGCCTGGACTGCTCCTGTCGTCCAGGCTCCTCAGCTTAAGAATCACCCAATGGATGGCAATCTGGTGATCTGCTGCAATTCGGCCCTCGAAGAGCAAGAAGCTAGGGAGTGGGTTGGAGCCCGGGGGTGCTCCCATCATGTTACTTACGTTACTTTCAATGTGCCTGATGCTGACTCGCTGGTGTTAGTTCAAGGTAGTCAAGGCCCTTGTAATGCCAAAGCCAAGATTGAAAAGTCCCATGTTGATGCGGTCAAAGATGATGAGCCGCGACCTGATGAGAAAAAAGGTCATGGGACAGTTTTCCTGCGACTCACAGTAGCCAAAGATTTTGCCGATGCTGAAATCACTGCAAAGACCGCTGTAAAGCCGGAGTGCTTGCCTGCTGTTGTTCTCTCTTCATGCAAGGACAAGGTTTTGCAGACCAAAGCAGCTTTCAATTACCCTAAGGAAATCACGTGTTTAATTCGTGTCCGCGAGGAGTGTGTTTCGAACCTCTTGAGCATCAGCCTGCCCACGGGGGTTTTCCTCAATCGTCAGAATTCCAAGCTCGTCCCTCGGTGGTTTTACCGGTCAGATTCCCAAAGCTTCAGTCAGCATTGGGTTTCCACAAAGCAAGAGTGCGATAAAGCCAAGGGTCCAGGGTCGCATGGTCTACCGGCCTTCATCAAACGCGCCTATTGGCTATATTTCTGATTCAGTTATTGACCCAAGTGCAAATACGGTCGCTCCACGTTGGTTTGTGTCAAATACTCCAGTTGGATGGTCCGAGTCTGATCTGACCTCTTGGTGCAATCAGCGTGGCTTTTTGAAACCTGATAGTGTTGTGCGGTATGGGCCCAAAAGTTGGTTTGTTCGCGCCTTCCCTCCTAAAGAGGTTGATTCTAAGGCGATGACTTTTTCGAGTGGAATCACTATCGCTTTAGCTGCCCCCAAAAAGAAAGGTCGGCCAAACTGCTCAGGCGTTCCCGGAAAATCTGCTTGGGGCGCTCCAAGCCCTTCGTCACGCTCTGGTGCATCTTTTGGCGCCAATCCTAGACCTGAGGCCGTTGATGTTTCTGACTGTGAGATGCAAGGTCAGTCCTGTGCAGGTGAACCCAAGACTGACGAGAAGACTGAAGTTGATTTCACTGGCACTGACACTAGTGCTCACATGGAGGATAGTGATGCAAAGAAACTTGCTCACACGCCTCCAAAGAAAACTCCAGCAAAGGCTAAACGCGCCAAGACTGGGTCAGAAGCCCCTTGGCAGTCCTTTTTCAAGCCTGTTACCAATCTCGGGGAAGGAGATTGCGCTTTTATCGCAATCGCGCAAGCTTTGACCCATTTTGCCGGTAAAGCTTCAAAGTCAAAAACTGAAGATTTCAAGCCTGCTGGTAGATTGCAGGCACAGCTTCGTCTGTTGGCCGGCCGAGAACTTGAAAAGCATCCTGCTGCTTATACGATTGCAGACCGACCGGATTTTGCTAAAAAAACCAGGACCGCTGGAACATGGGCAGAGGGCTCTTCCTTGCTCGCGCTGGCAGAAAGCACCAATTCTGACCTTCGTATTTTTGCCTTTGACAACACTTTGAAGCGGTGGGATTTCTATCGGTTGCATGCCAAACCTAATCCCAAGCACAGCCCTTGCGTGATTTATCTCAAATTGAAAGATCAGCGCTACGAGTGGCTTCGACCATCTGAAGAAATTCCTGAACAAGTTCTGCATGAGTGGCTTTTATCTGCTAAAGGCAACCCAATGACCAATTTACGCCCTGCTGGAGGTAAAAGCCTTGGAGATCAAGCTGATGGCCTTGACCCCGACGCTCTTTGCCTCTTGGGCTTGAAGCATGATGTTGAAGATGAATCCCCTAGCAGAGGTTCCTCTGTTCGTGCTCGCAGCCTTTTAGGCCTTGGTCGTGTGAGCCCTTCGTCGCTTTCCCAACCTCAACAATCCGGATCTCTCCATGATTTGGGTGAGCCAGTGATTAGAGTTGACGATAATTCAGGTGAAGATGACTCGGGTCCGCTTGACATCGCACAGCGATATAAATGTAAATGTGGTTGGGTTCCTGACCCCAATGCCAAAGGCGCCAAAGAAGCAAATGGCAAGTCCCGATTGTGGGAAATCGCAAACAAGCATTGGAAAACTTGCCAAGGGGAAAATGCCCCGAAGGTTTCAAAAGCCGAAAGGCAGGCCCTTGCTCGTGAGCGTTTCCAGAAGCATGTTTCCGCTTTGGTTGACAAATCAGTCGCTTCCTTTAAAGAATTTCAAGAAAGCCTCCAAACCAAAGATCCTGAAAAAGCTCAGGCATTTGCCAGGTTCAGCTCGACAATCCTTTCTACAGACCTAAGGGAGGATCTCACTTTTTGTGCTCTAGGTGTGGTCGAACTGCCCAGCTTTGTGTTTTTCGGAAGTTGCGTTGCCAGAAATCTCCGATTGACATCCGTCAGCAGGACTTTTGTCGCTTTGCCTGTGGTGATAAATTTGCTGACTATCAGATTGCCTGGAATGCAGAAAAGTGGAAGAAGATTGCCAAAGAGACCAGTGCAGTCCCTAAAAGGAAATCCGCCCCTGCCAAGCGCAAAGATGCTGTTGCCAAGCGTGCGCCGGTAAAATGCAAACCTAAAAGCAGCAAGTCCCGGTGACTAGGGACTGATCTCTCGGGAGGGGCTCTGCCCAGTGAGTGTGATGTGCCTTGCAGGCACATCGTGGTTTCTGTTAATGTTACTCTCCTCACCAAAGATCGTTTAACTGAAACTTTGAACTTCGCTAATCGGAATCATGCATGCATCATCGCACTTCAAGAAACAAAGCACCCTGTTGGTGGTTTCCCGTTTGCTAATCGCTTACTTGCTTTGCACGGTTGGTCAGTTCAGTGGTCTGAATCCCCTGGTTTGACTTCTTACTTTGGTGGCACTGCTTTGCTTTGGCGTAAAGCCATCGGTAGGGGTAAGCCAGTCCTTTCTGAGGACCATAGAATTTGCGCTCGTACATGGCCTCATGTCCGGGTTGCTTCTATTTATGGGCCCGCTAACGCCACCAATTTGCCTTGGTTTGCTAAGGTTCTTGAACATTTTAATGTTGATTCCACTCCCACCTTTCTTGTCGGGGATTTTAATTGGAAAGCTACTTATGAGCAGCTTCTTGGTCAGGACTGGAAAGTTTCTGAGCATGTTCCCAGTGTCATTGGATCTCAAGCTGCCCCAACACGTGTTGTGCACAACTTTCAGGACTTGCATCGCCCTCGGCTAGTTGAAGCTCTCCCAGGCATCCCTCATCATTGTGCTACTTTGTGGCAATTGCCTGCTTTACGGTATGATGCTTTAGCCCTGAGACGCCTCAGGCGTTGTGCAGTGTTTGAGCCTATACTTAAGCCAACTCCTGACCAGTGCGCAACTCTCGAAAACTTCGCCAAGCAAATTTGGAATAGTGAATCTCCTGTTGATGTTAGTTTTGACCTTCCTGATCTGGTCGATCATGAACAGCTGAACCTTAGCTTTCACAAGTGGCATTCTTGCGCTGAGCGGTTTTTCGAGCGAACTTGTGATGCCAAGTTTTGTGCCCGCAGTGTTTGGCCTGAACGTGCTAAGGGGTCGCCTCCCTCCTCTAAAGCATGGGCTACCTCTACGGGTTTTCACAATGATTCTATTGCTGTTCGTAGGTGTATGAGACTTCACCGTGCAGCTGTGGAGCAGGCTAAGTTAGATTCCGAAGGGCCCCTAACGCAGAGTCAACCCTAACGCAGAGTCAACTCAAGCATTGGCTTGCTGCTGTTAACGACAAGGTAGTTGCTTCTATCATTTTTGAAATTCCTCGTTCTCAGAGTGATGCCATCGCCACTGCATCAAAAGCCATAAAGTTCCTTTGTGATTCGGATGAGCAGAGCAAAAATGCGTCTTGGAAACAACTGTTCCGCCAGTGGAATCACGTGACTGTCAAAGCTGCAAAAGAAGTTTTGAAGCCTGATTTGAACCCTGCCTCCTGTCTCTGCCCAGGAGCTGTTGGATGATTGGAAGGCTTCTTTTGCACCTCCCCAGGACATGGATTGCGGGGATGCTTGGCTCAACGCTGCTCATGAGGCACAACTCCAGGCTTGCAATCCTGTCGAAGATTTTGTAACTTGGGAAGATTTCTTAGATGCTGCAGAAAATGCCAAAGGTTCCCCAGGTCTGGATGGCTGGACTAGTGCTGAATTTCGTTTTTTGGCACGGTCGTGTCCTTGGCTCCTTCGCAAGCTTTTCGACATTTTAAGATGCGTCGTCCTTAAATCCGATTCTATCAATCCTAATCAGTGTCCTACTGTTTTTCTTTTGTTCAGTTGGAAACTTGTAGGAATCCCAAAGCGAGCTTCTGATGAATCTCGGCCTATTGCTGTCAGTTCCATCATTTTGCGTTGTTGGAATAAAGCAGTTTTAAAAGTATTGCCTCCATTGCCTGAAGACCAGTGGGCTGGCCGCAAGGAGACCAGCGTTGCTCATGCTACTGCTGATTGGCTTGCTCACCCTGGCCAATGTGGTGCAGAGATTGATTTGCAGAAAGCTTTTGATTCAGTGAATTGGGGCGCCGCTAAGGCTGCTTTATCTTTCGGTGGAACCCCTAAATGCATCATCAATTTTCTGCAATTAGCGTGGAAAAGCCCTAGATTCGTGAATGTTTTGGGTTCATTCTGTTTGAAGCCCCTTATTCCCACTAGGTCAATTCCTCAAGGGGATCCCACGTCTCCAAATGTGCTTGCCCAGATTCTTCGACCTTGGCATGCGATCGTTCACCTCAAGCACCCCATGGTTAGAACGTGGGCATATTGTGATGACAGGTCGCTGCGGTGCTCCGGTACTTTGGAAGACCTGAATGATGCTCTCGCTTCAACTCGTCGTTTTGATGATGATGTTGGTTTCTCTGAAAATATGAAGAAACGACAAATTTGGGCAAATAATGATGTCGCCGAACACCTTGGTCTCTCGGTGTGCCCCGCCTCGCAAGATTTGCCCACTTTGCGCAATGGGTGGGATGCCATTGCCGATAATTTTCCTTTTCTTGCAAAGATTCCTGGTGGCATCATGCCCCGCGAGAATGCCGTCCGTATTTTCTTCAAAAGCAAATGGACCTGGCCGGTGCCTTTCATTGCACCCCCACCTGTTTCGTTTGTGAGTAAGCTTTTTCACCAACTTTTGATGCTCTTGGTGGTGTAGTGGCAGGTTTTGGGCTGATAGAATTGACATTCATCCAATCTTTGGCTTGGCCTGTGCAGCTGTGTTGTCTGCGCACCGCTTTCATAACCCACCTCCAAATGCTGTTTTCCGCGCAGTTAAGTTTTACCTTGAACTCTTGGATTTGCATCTTGTGTCTTGGGATAATAGGGGCCTGTACTTTTCAGTTAACCCTCAAAATCAAAATTTGAGCCGTTTCGTTAGTGCGTATGGTGAATCCATCAAACTCATGCCAGAAGGTGTTCCACCTCATGTCCTTCGGGTTGCTGCTAGACACAAAAGCCTTTTGCAGATCCGGCCTTCTCGATTGGACTCTGAAGATTTCAGTAACATAGATGTTGAGGCTTCGTCCCACCCTCTATGGTCAACGTGGCGAGCAAAGCTTTCTCGCAAAAACCTTATTGTTCTTAATATTTATCGGGGTGGTGCGATCCAGACCCCTACAAGAGGAGGGTATAGCCATGATCCTTCTTGCCCTTTCTGCAATGCGCAGCTCGCCTCCATGCGGCATTTTTTGGGCATTGTGCCCCAAGTTCAGAGCAAAGAGAGATTTTCTTGAGGGTTTATTTCAAATCCCTTCTGGTTGGTGGGCACTTCAGCCTCGCGTCACGTCCAAAAGTGGTTGGGTTGTGCTTTCTGCAGCCGATTCGGCTGTGCAAAGAGCCAAATGCCAGATTGCTGCTTGTGAGCTTGCTTTCGAAATCAACGATGCTTTGCGTCCCATTTCTTCTACTCCTTAGGTTCTTTTCCGGGTTCCGCCTGGATTGTTTTCATTTGCCCTCGGGCGCTTGCATCTTGTGACAAGGTTTTCTTTCCTTGCCTTTGATCCGTGCAAAGCCCGGTACAAACCGGGGTGCGTCTAACTACCTACGGGCTTAGGTTGGCGCATGCATTGTTTTTTTTGACCTTCGGCGGGGACTTCAACCAGAGCTTAGAAGGTGTCACGTTGCCAAGCAGCCTGAAGACTTTGACCTTCGGCTACAACTTTAACCAGAGCTTTCAAGGTCTCACCTTGCCAAAGAGCCTGCAGACTTTGACCTTCGGCACTGAGTTTAACCAGAGCTTGGAAGGTCACCTTGCCAAGCAGCCTGCAGGCTTTGACCTTCGGGCGGGAGTTCAACCAGAGCGGGGAAGGTGTCACCTTTCCAAGCAGCCTGCAGACTTTGACTATCCAGAGCTTGGAAAGTGTCACTTTGCCAAGCAAGCTTGAGACTTTGATATTCGACTATTGCTTCAACCCCCAGAGCTTGCGCAAAGTGTCACCTTGCCAAGCAACCTGCAGGCTTTGAGCTTGGGCAGGAAATTCAACAAGAGCTTGAAAGGCGTCACCTTGCCCAGCAGCCTGCAGAACTTGACCTTCGGGTGGGAGTTCAACCGCAGCCTGCAGACTTTGACCTTCAGCTCCTTTGGCTCTCACTTTAATCAAAGCTTGAAAGGCGTCACCTTGCCAAGCAGCTTGCAGACTTTGACATTCGGCTACAAATTTAACAAGAGCTTGCAAGGTGTCACCTTGCCAAACAGCCTGCAGACATTGACCTTCGGCAGGGAGTTTAACCAGAGCTTGGAAGGTGTCACCTTGCCAAGCAGCCTTCAGATTTTGACCTTCGGCGGGGAATTCAACCAGAGCTTGGAAGGTGTCACCCTGCCCAGCAGCCTGCAGACTTTGATCTTTGGCCTTGATTTTAACCAGAGCTTGCAATGTGTGACCTTCCCAAGCATCCTGCAGACTTTGACCTTCGACGGGAAGTTCAACCAAAGCTTAGAAGGTGTGACCTTGCCAACCAGCCTGCAGGCTTTGACCTTGGGCAGGGATTTTAACCAGAGCTTGCAAGGTGTCACCTTGCCAAGCAGCCTGCAGATTTTGACCTTCGGCTGGAAGTTCAACCAGACCTTGAAAGGCGTCACCCTGCCCAGCAGCCTGCTGACTTTGATCTTTGGCCTTGAGTTCAACCAGAGCTTGGAATGTGTCACCTTGCCAAACAGCCTGCAATCCTTGACCTTCAGCAGCTGGTTGGAGGGGTTGGAGACATTGCCATTTAGTTTGCGTCACCTTGGTTGCGAGTCCTTTGAGATCTGTCTTCACTGAGGTGAATGAAATTGTGTGGTGTCATTTTCACCCAGTCTCACAATGGCCTAGGCCATGTTGTTTTTCATTCTTGATTTGCCTCAAGGGTGTGTCTGTTTTTTGATATACCAGCCACAAGCTGAGAAAGCCTCCTCTCAGCCATTTCCTCCTCTGTCGCTGCAGCATGCTACAGCTACGTGACCCCCATATGTGACCGGCAGTAACTCCGTCTCAAACACCTATCATGAACAACATCTTCTCGTCTGCTACTAGAGGCCCGGGTTTCATATTTGATTTATGCGATCTTATACGTATATTTTGTACACGACTCCATCATGGGTCTGTGGTTTCACTCGGTTCTGTGCTCTCCGTGAAGCGATTGGTCCCTCGAAAGGATTGCAGCTTGCGACTGGGCGGCCGAAGCTGGCCTTGACAGGACTTTTCTGCGAGGATAAAGGGGACATGTCAAACGGCTGAGTCGCGCGTGACGGCGCGACCGAGTCCACCCACCGAGCCGACGGGTTCCGCTGACCTGAACGAAAAGCAACAAGCGAACTCACCCCAAAAAATCCCAAAACGAACTTTCCAACGCTCCACCCTAGGGAAAACGAGTTTTCAACGTGACATCAACTGAAGAAAGGTCAACATGTTAAACCGAAGGCATCCACCAGTATCAAAGTTTTAGGTCTGAAGTTCTTTGAAGATAGGGACTCTCGGCTTCTCAAAAGCCAATAATAGCCGCTCGGCTGATCGGCCTGCCAAAGCTCGGCCACCGAAAAGCTATGAAAGAATTTGGACAGACATGTTGGTTCCGCACTCTGCATCTAGGATCCATGTTGAGGCGTCTTAGAAGATTTCTGTAAGTTCAGTGAGGCACAGCCCCTCTGAATGCCCAAGTCAAAATTTCAGCCAGGAATCACCACGGCAACATTTGGACCAGCCAGTTCCACACCCCAAAAAGCACTTAGAACATCACTTAGCGCATCACTTGATTCATATATTTTCTGTGACTCCATTCCCCCGGCCCCAATTCACGACCTTTTGGCGCCAGCACCGTTTGAGGTGGGCGCCGGTGCCGGCAGGTGAAGCTAAGGACCGGTCGAGACCGTCGGGTGGGGCGGGCCTTCCGAGATGGTCGTGCGCTTCTCTTTTCCGTCCTTCATTCTTTTCAAGACCCGTTCTTTTTTGGGCGCTTGAAGAATTGAAGAAGATTCTGAAGAATTGAAACCGACCACACGTCGGAAGAGCATGCGCTGCTAATCCACGCTGCTAAATCCAGGACGAAGCAGAGCCATGCCGCTGCGTCCTGCAGAGCCATGCGCAGCCATGTGCAGCCCAGAATCATGACGTTTGTGCCTGCCCCAAGTGTGGTGCATTTCGGGTGAAATTTGCAGCGACACCAAGGAAGCGTTCCTTTTTTTGGCGTGATGAGGGTCGAGAACGTGGAATTTTGCCAGTGCATGTGTCATGATCCAAACCAGAAGGTATTTGTCGTTCATACTGACTCTATAGTTTCTGGGTCAGCTTCAGCAAAGTAGAATGTTTATATTATATATTCTTCAAATGATTTAAGTAGAGTAACTCACCGACCGTGGCTACTCTCGGAACGACTGTGGCTACTCGCCGACAGCGGCGACGCGTCAGTGGACCTTGTGGCCCCCAGTGACTCCGCCATGGGCGCCAGCGCCACTGGCCACGGCAACCTGGTAGAGGAGCCGGACGACGAAACGCTGCTGAGTTTTCTTTGTGAAGATGTGGACCGCGCGGAGAGACTGCTGAGCCGGGCAGAGCGTCTGATGCTGCTTGGACTGAAGAGGGAAACCTTTTAGGAAGTGGCCTCCGGTTCACTGTAGCCAGAATTGGCGATTGTCACCTTTGGCCGTCGCCCAGAATGCTCTACCCGAGGCCACGGGCGAAAGCCCGGGTGGCCACGAGTCTGGCCGCGGAGAAGCCAAGCGTTTCGGGCGAGTCTGGCCGCAGGTTGATTATCCATGGGGTGGATGGGTCGACATTTCACCTTCCCGTGGACGATGCTGCGACAGTTCCATGGACATTTGAATTTGTTGGGTTAAGTTGTCTAATATTTTGTTCGTGTGTACGTTCGTGTCGAAGCGAGGTTTGTAAGTAGATGATATGACGACTGCACCCAAACCAAGGTGGATGATCTCTCCAAGACCATCACGGCCAAATGCGGTGCCAAACCAGGCCACCGACTGGTGCTCACCTCCGGTGGCAACGTCTTGGATGATTCCAAGCCGCTCTTGAAGCAGCTTTGTGGTGAAGAGATCACCTACGTGATGCAGCGAGTCTCTGCAGGAGAAGCCGCAGTGAGCTTGCTGCGTGCGACGAAAGAAAGCAGAAACCATCTGCCAAGCAGCCTGCAGACCCTGACCTTCGGATACGGCTTGAACCAGATCTTGCAAGGAGTCACTTTGCCAAGCAGGCTGCACACGTTGACCTTCGGTGGAGAGTTCAAGGAGAGCTTGGAAGATGTCACCTTGCCCAGCAGCCTGCAGACTTTGACCTTCGGCGAGAGGTTCAACCAGAGCTTGAAAGGT